AGTACTTATTACGTTAAATAAAATAGTAAATATGAATAATCAAATAAAGTATTAGAATTTTCGAAATTTTACGTTAAATAAATGTAAAAGAATGAGGCAATTTTTTTGTACTTATGAAATGTAGATCTTCTTACACTTTGTATATATTGACTAGAAAATAGGTTTTTTCGTTTTCTGCAAAAAGCTCAATTCTTTTACGTTACCAACAATCACTTTAGAATCACGGAAGAGTTTTTCTAAAAACAATCATATTGCTATACCAAATAATTACCGAATATTTACCATGTTTAAATTTTTTAACACTTTAAAAAAAATAGTTGATCCATCCTATAAAAAGACTTCAGGTTTTATTTACGATCTTTGATTGAAGTTATTTTAAAATCATTTTAAGTACAAATTGGTACTCCAATAAAATTTTAAATTTAAAATTATATGGAGCATATTAAAAAACTCCCTCAAATCTTATACTCGAGTATACAACAAGGGTAACTATTACATTATTTTCTCAAATGATCAATGAAAATATGACAAAAGAAAAAATTAATTTGATCGTATGATTAGTAATATACTAATATGTAACATTTTGTGGGACGATGGAATGGCAAAATAAAGGCATAAACTTTAGTATATCTAAAAGTGTTAAATTAAAAATGAAAAATATATTTTAACTAAACATTTTTACGATGATAAAATGCATATGAATAGAATAGTCAGAAATGAAGAGTTCTGCACAAAATACAAAGTAACAATAATGGTGATTAATTAATACTCCAGTAATAATAAAAGTTACTCCCTCTGTCCCAAATTATAATGCATGTTCACTATTCACAGAGTCAAACTTCATTCACTTTCTTTCTCTATTTTCGTTAGCAATTTGACAAAATAAAATATTATTATCACCACTAGTTTTGTAGATTTTTTGATGTAGTATTTTAATATGTAATTTTTATGTTTCAACTCTATACTATTTGTCATATAAAATGATTTGAAAATAATTTCAGTCAAACATCATAAACCGAAACAGGCGTTATAAAATGGGACGGAGAGAGTATTTTAATGTATAATGATTGTGGACAGCTCTGCCCAAGCAGTTCATTGCAGAATCAGATATATTGGTAATAGGGATGATTTTTATGTCACTTTCATCTATGCATTCAATGATAGAGGACACAGAAAACAGTTGTGGGATTTCGTATATAAATATTCTGGGAGTATAAAGGAACCTTGGTGTTGTATTGGGGATTTCAATACCATTATGAAAGGAGAAGACAGAAAAGGAGGTATCCCTGTCACAGATGAAGAAACAAAAGAGCTCAGAGATTTCACATTTCAGAGTGGACTGGAAGAAATTACCTGTAACTGGAGCATACTACACTTCGTCAAACAGGCAATGTATGGAGAAAAGAATATGGTCTAAACTAGATAGGGCCTTATCAAATATTGAATGGGTGCTGAGATTCAATACTAAAACCAGGGTACTGGAAGAAGGAGTATCTGATCACTCCCCTTTGCTAATTTCAAGCGTGAACAGTCAGCATAGGATGAAGGGATTTAAATTCTGCAACATGTGGATTGGGGATGATCGATTTCCTCAAATTCTACAGGAGACATGGAAGGTAGATGATTCACAGGGGCAAATGTATCAGCTGGCCCGAAATCTTAAGACACCACTTTTAAGACTTCACAAGACTAAATACAGTCAGATTCATAAGCAGGTAGACACTGCTAGGGAAAAAAGCTTATAGTCATTCAAAAACTACTGCAGGGAGGGAATGGAAACAATGAGATGATAGAGGAAGAGAAAGAGCTCCGTGTACAATTACATCATCTGATCAGGGCTTCTTATGAACTTAAATGTCAACAAAGCAAACAAGAATGGATAACCCAAGGAGATGAGAACTCCAAGATTTTCTATGCTTGGGTAAAAGAAAAGGCAGATTCAGAACCACATTGATACAATACAGAATGAGGGTGGAGAAATGGTGGAGGGTACTGAGGAAGTAGCTGCAGTACTACAAAGTTATTATTCAAGAATGTTGGGAACTAGGGAATATACTTAAGATATTGATGCTCATACTATATAGAGAGGGAAAGTGCTGGATGCTGAACAGCAACTGAACCTGGTCAAAAAGTTCACTCCACATCAAATAAAGGCAGCTTTATTTTCAATACCAAATGACAAGAGCCCTGGACCACATGGGTTTGGCAGTGGCTTTTTCAAATCACAATGGAGTACAGTAGGGGAGTTAGTTGTTAATGCTGTGGAGGAATTTTTTAAGAATGATACCACTCTTATCCAAATTAATGCTACGAGCCTAACCGTCATTCCAAAAGTTCCAAACCCTAAAAACCCCACAGATTTCAGACCCATTGCCTGTTGTAATACAATATACAAAGTGATATCAAGCTACTATGCATGAGATTGAAGGAAGTCATGCCCCGACTGGTGGATCTCAACCAAGGCGCTTTTATCAAGGGGAGAGAGTTGCTACATAATGTACTCTTATGTCAAGAGGTAGCCAAGGGGTATAACAGAAAAGGGGTTTCCCCGAGGTGTATGATGAAACTGGACATACAAAAAGCATATGATTCAGTGAGCTGGAAAGCTATCAGAGGTATCGTATCCTTTATAATCTCAAATTCCCTGAGCAATTTATTAACTGGATTATGTTTTGTGTTACCACTCCATCATACACCATAAACGTTAATGGAGATTACCATGGATACTTCAGAGGAGGGAAGGGGCTACGGTAAAGAGATCCAGTATCTCCTTTATTATTTGTGCTTGTAATGGAGTATCTTACCAGATGTTTCTCTGAAGCTGCTCAAAAAGAAGGATTTTCATACCACCCAATGTGTAAGGAGCTAAAGATCATCAACATCTCTTTTGCGGATGATCTAATAGTGGTCTGTAAGGCAGAAAATAGATCAATCCAGTGTGCAATGAAGGTTCTGGAAAAGTTCAAGAACACAACTGGCCTTAAGATTAACAAGCAGAAATCGCATATTGTGTTTGGAGGAGTGAATCAACAGAGGAGGGAAGAGCTTCTAAAACTCACTGATATGAAACTGGGCAAACTACCCTTCACATACCTTGGCTGCCCTATTACCACCGGAAGACTTAAAGCAGGGGATTGCGAACCTTTGATTAATAAGCTTACAAGCAAGATTACTGCGTGGGGGACTAGACACTTCTCTTATAGTGCCAGAATCAGGATTATAAACTCTGTACTTATGGGTGTTATAACCTTCTGGTCAAGAATTTTTATTTTGCCCAAACAGGTAATAGGGAAAGTGATGGCTATCTGTAGAAACTTTCTTTGGAGCAGTACCCATGAATACAAAAGAGCCCCACTGGTCCAATGGGAGGAAGTTTGTCAGAAGAAGAAATTTGGTGGTTTGGGATTAAAGAATGCCATGAACTGGAATAGAGCCACAATAATGAAGCTAAATTGGGACATTCCTGAGAAAAAGGACATATTATGGGTGAAATGAATACATAGCAGATATATTAAAGCTGACAATTTTTGGGACCACATACCAAATCTGAATTCATGCCATTACTAGAGGGAAATGATCAAGGTGAGAGACTTATTTAGGGGCATGAATAACACTCAACCTTTTTCCATCAAGGCAGGGTATGAATGGCTGCAAGGGGACAAAATTACCCCTAAATGGAGGAATTGGGTCTGGAACAAACATACGCCTCACAAATTCCAGGTTATATTCTGGCTTTTGATGCGAGGTAGATTACAAACCAAGGTGAGAATGAGCAAATTCCTCCCATTACGTAATGCCATTACTTGTCTGTTATGTCAAAAAGAACCAGAAACTGATGAGCATCTCTTTTGGAAGTGTGAATTTGCCCAAAGGGTGTATAATGAGAGCTTTGGAAGGTTTGGATGGCAGTATTAAGCAAACTCATTAATGCATTTTGGGGAAGTACTACAGCTCATAAAAGAGAAAGGAAGAAGAATGAAGAGCTATGCAATTTGGGCCGCTTGTGTGTATGGGATCTGGAGAGCAAAGAACAATGCATTGCATAAGAAGAGGATACAAGAAGAAGACACCCTTAAATACATTGTTGATTACTTAAGCTGTTGTTTCTCTTATAAATGCCATTAGGGTGTGTTCTGATATTTGACTTGCTTGTATGATACTTTGATGTTTTGGTAATAAATTGTGTTTACGGTGCAAAAAAAAATTACTAAATAAAATGCTCTCCCAATGTACTACTTGAACCTCGCCATGTAATAAATTATATATGTATTTGCAAGTTTTAACTAGAAAAAAAATACACTGATGGTGAAACTATTTGAACCTCGCCAAGTAGGAATGTTTTGTGCACTTGACTGTCAATTTACTCTTCTCACATTTTTTTAAAACTCCTTTTTATTATGTTTTTGCTTTTACTCTTGGGAAGTTTTATGATCTTTAAAATTTCTTTACAATGTTATCTTCAAACAGATAAGTTATATGGACTTATATCCAAATTAGCTCTAATTATTCATCATCTCTGATGGAGCCAAAAGTTCACCAAATTTTGGCTTTGATGTATGATAAAATAAAATAAAATGACTTTTTAAACTATCTACAAATCAACTTTCAACACTCTTCATAGGTCATCCAAAAACCAATCTATGTTTTAAGCATAGGAGTCAGGCCACATTCGTAATTCTCTATAGCACTAAAGTCGGGAGTCTATTTGAAAATAGTCTCTACTTACGAATAGAAAGTCACGAATAGAAAGTCTGCGTACTGACACCCCTCTCACACCCTATTTTTATAGAATTCAACTGGGTTATTATTGTGGTTATAGTTGTTGTCAATTGCAATGATGGAATTCCAAAACCTAGATTTAAGCTTCATCCACTTGTAAAACATAAATGGGGAGTGGGATTTTGGGTAGCTTAATTTGATTAATCAATCAACATAGAATAGAAAATCAATCATTGTTGCATAAAAAACCAATTCTGCGTATGAGCTATGACACTCAACAAAGCAGTTATACATATTAATTTTCAAATTACAACACAAAAAATAGAAGCATTAAAACCTTAAATATAGAGACACAGGTTCAGTGTCTCCTATTTGGAGGAGAAGAGCTTCTGTATAGAGCAAGAACAACATAAAATATGCATTTCGAATTTACATATGAGAAGCCAACAGTGAATTGGAGCACAAACATACTCTATACTCCGTAGTTTGTAAGTTCTATGAGGGGTAGTACTTCCCTCCATAGTCATGTCATGAGAAGGCCAACTCTGCAAAAAAAATGGAATTGCAACATTTTCTGTGTGTTTTCGCCTCTTATCCCTCTGTAGAACAATTTTAAATTCTTCAGTCAGGCTTTTCAATTTAATAACTAGAGGTTGATTAAGTTGAAGAGAATGAAGACATAAGAGAAAAATAATGTGTAATCCTTCGATGGTTTTTAGATGTAAAGTTAATTGCAATTTATAAGACAGTACATTCGTAATCACAACTCAATTAAAGCTATAAAAAATGTCAAGCCAAACACCTACATGGTTGATTACCTCGTGGCTCGTACCAAACATAGCCTAAATTCATACCTTAATAAAGGCCCAGCATTCTTAGCTCTGACACATGGCTAGGGTCAAGCTCTAGAACATTCTTGCTTAATGCTTCCCGGTCTTCTACAACATACTCCTGTCAATTAAATAACGAGAACGCGAGCAATTGAAACTACAGGTCAGTTTGGATGGATTATGGAGGGGAATGGACTTGGTCATTCGTATATGTCTCAATTGGTAGAATGTTTATATAACTGAGTAAATAGTGATTCAAATTTTGAAATGTCGAATCATCACCTACTACGTTCTTTCATTTTTTAAATAAAATCTCAAAATCCCATTGATCGAGTTGGATGAAAGGACCAAGATAAGTCTCTCGCTCAACATCCATACATATACTACATTAAATCTTACAAAACATGTATCTTTTGCTATCTTTTTTTGCAAAACTCTCCCTCCAAAATACTACCTCCGTCCCACTGTCTTTGTCCACATTTGACTTTTGGAACTGTTCATCTAAGCACTTTGACTCATCAAATTCTCTCAATGTGTAAGCCTAAAAATAGTCATGTGTGATCTTGTTTGATTCGTCTTAACATATAGATTATAGATTATTAATATATAATTTCTATAATTTTTTAATATACAAATTACAAGATAAAATGGAATAAAGAAGTGCATTGGATGGTGTGCCAAAAGGTAAGTGGACAAAGACAGTGGGACGGAGGGTGTAGTACGTTAGGGCCAATTAGTGAAATTTTATGAATAAAATTTTTATATTAAAAATTAAATCAATACTTCAACAAAACAAGAGGTGGCATGGTGACAAAATGACTACCTGCATCTCGCCTCTCATAACTATGGTAATAAAAGGACAACACGGAGAAATAAAGAGGATGTAGCAAGACGATGTCTGAAAAAAACTTAAGGTGTTTCACTGTTTCTCCATTGAATCCAAAAGAATGTTTTCCCATTAAAATACTAGTGAAAAATGCAGGTCAGTATCTCATATAGATTTTCTTTCTCTACAATGAATGAGGAAAGAAAAGATTAAACTGTCATGCCAATTAGTACGGAGTAGTATAATTTTGAGATTAGCAAAAGCTTGTATACCTTAGTGAGTTCAGGTTTGGCAAGAACGTAGTAATGACGCTCGCTGATTTTCTGTCCACAAATTATCGCTATGAAGAAGCCATAAAGCAATCCTACCAATACAATTGCCAAAACTGCAAGGTTCAAACAATTAAACACGAGAGATTTCAGTGTGAAAAAGACTAACAATCCAGAGGTGCATGGAAATTTGGACCCAAAAAATCAAACATCCATTGAAAATGAAATATTAAACCAGGACAAAGCATACCTGCCATTGTATAAAATCCGTATGGATGTTCTTCATAACCAAACATTTCCCGCAGCTCCTCTCCATAAAATTTGTACACAAGGACTCCTAAAATTGCTACGATCTGTAGAGTGTGCTCTTTTATTAAACAAAGAAGATTGTAACCAAGAGAGAGGGTACCACAACTTAGAGCAAGCAAGAAGTGAATAGAGATTATATACCAGCTGGACAACAAGAAAAATTAAAGTGTGGTCTCTTGCAACGAGAAACTGAAATTTCAACCTCAACCACCATCGATCAGGTGGTACATTTGCCCGCAATATAAACTTTGCCTTGCATTCCGTACAGTGAGCAAAAGCAAAGCCTTCCTGGAAAATTTAAGCACAGAAACATTGTAAGTTTTTGACACACCATTCAATTAAAAATGCAGAATTATCTAATAAAAGATGCAGTAAAGGTGAATGTTAGGGGAATTCCAAGGATTCTAAATGAAGCATTGAACAGACTCTTCAGATTATTACATTATTACCAATACCCGTGTTTTGCAACAATGCAAGAGAGTGACTATGATTATATTTTTCCACTATGGGTATCTTTCTTTTAGCTTTTTTTTATTTTGTGTGTGGCGTCCTTGAAGCTCTAATATTAAAATTCTGGTTCAATGGCAAATATCTTTCTTAGAAATGCATGGTTAAATGGATGATTAGTTGGGGAAAAGAGAACAACACACCAAATTCATTGCCTACAATACAATTAAAACAACATTTGCAATTCAAAAATAATTGCAAATATTAAAGAATGTGAGGATAATTGCTTATCCAGATCAGAGGAAAATATTACAGAGAAATAAGAACAAATATTGTTCATTGGTTATGGGTTGGATTTTTGCGAGATTTGTGGATTTTTTTCTCTCTCATTTCATAACACGAAAATATTGGTTGGAACACTCACTTTAGAGTCATTTTGATATACTCCCTCCGTCCAAGTTGAAACTTCTCACTTTGACCTGGAACGGTTTTTAATGTAATGCTAAAATTGCTTTGACTTTCCACATTTGCCCTTTTGTTTTTTATCCTTCCAACCCCACCTCACTCCTGCAAAGTTTCATTCTCAAACCCACCCACCCCTGCAAACCCACCCACTCCATTCTTGTCATCTCCGTCTTTGATGAGATTGGGCTCAAAATCAATAGCTAATGAAATTGAAAAAAAAATTGAAGAGATGAGGTGAGATCTATTTTAAATCCACCATTGTCGTTGGGACTGCCATCACCTCGTCGCCTGAAAGCTTTTCCGTTACCGCCGCCACCTGGTCGTGAAAGCTTTGTCCGAGGAAGATGATGGATGGGAGCCAGATCTGTAGGTTTTCTAGCTGGATCTTGCGAAAATCGAAAGGAAAATAAAACCATTTCACTGTGAAAGGACGGACTGGATTTAATGCCCGGATATGGAGGAACGAACTTCTATATCAGAATCCTTTGAGCCGCTACATGTGCACCGGTGGCCTGGGGCCGACGCTGGCGAAGAAAAAGAGGGGGAGTGATGATGAAGATGTGAGGTGGGGGTGGGCGCTGTGAACACAAAGGCTGAAGAAGAAGAAGAAGAAGAAGAAGAAGAAGAANGGGGGGGAGTGGGTGGCTGAAGAAGAAGGAAAGAAAAAGAAAAGAAAAAGAAAAGAAGAAAAAGGGGAATGGTGGGGTGGGTTGGTCACTTGGTCTGATCGAGAACAAAGAAAAGAAGATAGAGGAGTTGTGGAGGAGAGAAAAAGAATAAAGGAAGAAAGGGTAAATTAGTAACTTTAAATAAATTTTAATTCCATTTTAAGAAACGGGAAGAATCAAGTGGGACGGCTCAAAAAGGAAAGTGAGAAGAAAGATATGGGACGGAGGGAGTATAATTTCCTTCACCTGTTCCCAGAACTTTGAGCCTAAGTCCTAACACAGATATTTCAGTAAAACATTGCATATTAATGAACATTCAAAGCAACCACCTGTCCCTATAAAAAAATGATTTCATTTTTCTCCCAATTTAGCAAAATTTCTTTGATTTTCAGATAGAAACTAACTTACTCATGTTTGGATAGTGGTAGCTGCCATCAAGTCAAGCAGAATTTCAGTGCCTCTAACCTATTTTCATCACTGACTACACAAACTTTTTAAGTAGGGTTCAGTAGTCTTTTTGGAAGCACTTCAATAACACATGCATATGTCCCCATCCGGTCGTTCTATTCCACTTCACTACTCGCTATTTTTTTTTCTCGTCTTTAGGGTGATTCCATGGTTGCCCTTTTCACTTATAAGTTCTTGTCAAATGTCAAATGCAATGAATAATGCAAGTCCCTCAGCAATTCATTTAATTTATAGTCTAGCTTCCTTGTTTTGAATTCACCACATCACCACTTTAAACAAAAGTATTGCATTTATAATTTAAAAGTAGGAGAATATATTCCTCCATCAATAAACGAAGGAGGAAATAAGGTATTTATAATACCTAAGTGTTCCAAGTCTTTCATAAGGACATCATGTGTAACTGTCACATATACTGTGACCTCATAAGCTTCTAGAGTTCTTACTTTGGAGCAACAATTACAAAACTATTCCTTAGTATTACATTTATTTTCCACAATTAGCAGTTCACCAGGAATAGTAAATGGACCCGTATGTAAGACATATTCAGGATGCTTCTGTTGTGTTTTTTTTATAAATAAATTTCATTCATAAAAGTCAATCAACTGAATAATAGGAATGAGCATCATATCTGACCATAAGAAATAAGATAAGCATATATTACCTTTGTAGATCTCCAATTATCAAGACATGCCCTGTGGACATATTTTTGGGTTCCCTTACAATGACACGGTGCAATCAAATCTTCTCCTGAAAAATGCAAACAAGATACACACATTTTTATGTGAATAAAATGTGTTGCTCTCATCCACACTATGCATTCATATGAATGTCATCCAAGATCCACGAGTAAATAAATTGCAAACCTATCCTTTACATGTAACTGTAATGTTGTTCGTAGAATAGTAACTAAAGCTAAGCAATCTATGAAACCAGTCATACTGGCACAGCAGGCATACAAAACCTTCAGTATCAAGGCATATACGACATTGTGGTTGCTCTGCATTAAATAGCAATCGACTTCCATCAACCTCAATACTCGATGAATCATCAGAACTAGCAGAACTATCCTCACTCACTGTAATTTCAATTGCATGTGATGATTCATCTACAACATTGGAATGAGTTAAGATAGGCTCTGTTTCAGAACCATCCTCTACTCGACTATCATTTGGCAATATTTGCATTGTTGAAAGTATAGGTTCCAGATTACACTGTAGAAATCAGAACAATAGCTATAGTGCGCAAATAACATCTCTGCACACACAGAGGCACCTACAATATTAGAATTTAGTTAGACAGGAAGACAGTCAGGAAAAGAGATATCATTAGGTATTTTATTAAAATAGCAGCTGCCTCAGGTGTTGAGCATCATAAAATACATTCTAAAACCGCACAACATGCGATCAACTAGTTATTTGTATACCAATATTAGACTTGCAAGGCTATATTGCATTTATGCAAACTAAAATCCCATATAGATATGATATTTTTATATCATTTGTTTTGAATGACAAATAATATAACTTGCCCTGCTATCATTATTCATTCTTAGATATGTTTACTCATTAAACAGCTAACTAAGCATGTATCTACTAGTAACAGTAAAAAAACTTGCCCACTATCATTATTCATTACTATGCATCAAAGGTCTAGTGGAAACAGTCTCTATTTTTAGAAGGGAAAGATTGTGTGCATCTTGACCCCCATACCCCAGCAAACTTGGTATTATACTAGGTATGTTGTTCTTGTTGTATATAGCCTCTAATGTAGTCCATTTGGTTATCTCTCACCTTCTTGTTTGTTATTGATAGTTGTGATGGCGTACTTGAAGTAAAAAATGAAATGAAGGAACAATGTACCGTAGAGGTCCCTGTACTATCTAAAAGTTTTCAAATTAGTCCCTGTACTCAAAATTGAATTAATTTAGTCCTTGTACTATTTGTTTTTGTTTAATTAGGTCCTTCACTTCACTTGTCTCTTATATATTGCCCTAAATTTATAATCTATTATGAATGTACATAAATTGTTAATCTTAAATTCAGATCTGAAGGTATTCACAAATGCACAAACCTTGTGACGTTTGAACCACTGAGGCATTGCCAGAAGTAGAACCAATCATTAATCTTTATATATAGGGTCAATTATTGCTCAATTCAATATTTTCTAGGGTTTCAAGCCAACATTGTGTGCATTCTTTAAGACACATGAACAAACAGCTCCAGATTCGAACGTCAAGAAAGAGAAGAAAGAAGATGAGGAGGCTCATGCAAGTAGCTCTTGAAAGAGAAGATCCTACAGCATATAATCCTGGACTTCAAATATGAAAGTCACTTTGACTGAATGAGCCTCAAACACTACTATTTTACATGTAGCTATTTGTATGTTAAAGACACCATAGTATGAAATGTCAAAGATGTGATTCCCCTAGTTACTATAGTATCTCAAACACAAGTTCATGTACAAATAGTTAAATGTAAAAAGTTGTGATCGAGGCTCATTTGGTCAAAGTGACTTTCAGGCATGAAGTCCAGGTTTGTTTCCTCTGGGATTTCTCTTTCAAGAACCACCTTGCGCCTCCTCCGCCTCATTCGTGAAGTTTGTATTTGTAGTTGTTTGTTCATTTGTCCTAAATGATTTCACACATTATTGGCTCAAAACCCTATAAAATTTTGAATTGAGCCATAAATGACCCTATATATAAACATTCATGATTAGATCTAGTTCTGAGTAATGCCATAGTGGGTCTAACATCATAAGGTTCGTGCATTCATGAACACCTTCACGTCTAACTTCAATATTAGCAATTTATATACATTCTTAATTTAATGTTTTTGGCATTTTTACTTTTTGGTTTAACTCACATTTATGAGCTTTCACCAAATTGGAACATAGACATATAAGAATTCAAGTGTGTTACGAGTACCTTCTGGATTTCCATTCCTCTATGGAGCTAAAGATTCACTATTTTTGGGCTTTGGGGTATGATGGAATAAAAGAAATTGGCTCTCTACACTATCTGCACTTCTTGCAATTGTAAAGTAGCAGTTGGTAATGCAACTTTCGACGTTCATCATGGGTCATCTGGAAACATTCGCTTTATTTCGCTCTATGTTTTAAACATAGAGTCAGCCTGCGTATATCCCCCCTTATCCCGCAAGGGGCCGTTGAGGCACTGGGGTAATGTTGTTGGTGTTGTATGAGTACATTCCGGATTTATCCATGACTTTATATTGACTACAATTTTTAGGCTTGAGTATCACTTGGATTGTTTCTTGTTGTAGTGGAATTAAATGTCTATGGTTGAACTCTATGAAGAGATAGACAAGAGGAAATATTTGTATTCCATTACGATTATCAAAAAGATACAAGCAATATATGGAGTATAAAAGAAGAGGAAATAGTCAAACACATAAGGATGAAGAATTATAACAAACTCTTTAGAGACTAACTATCATGACTAAATATAACTTCGAAACTATAAACAAGGAATATAGCTCTACTAGTACTATGGTCAAAGCTGCTGAGTTGAACTTGTGAGAATATAGTTTCCGTTTATTTTGTGTTTTCCAGGACATATTAATGAAATGTTTGTCGTTAGGTTTTTAAGGTCCTTACTGTATTGTTTAAAATACTTTGGTTATATGACTAATGTGCTTTTGCAAGTGAAATTGATGCAACTTGAAGAAGTGTTTTTATCTTTCTTGAAAATATTTATATTCTATATCATTGAAGCTCAAATAAAAATTTCATTTCCCTCAGGTTACTTCTGCAAATCCTCAACTTTATTGTTTGATTATTACTTTATGCACAGATATTGTTCCGCACATGCTTAACAAAAATTTACATAATTGACTGGAGAAAACAAATCATGCTCATAATTTACATACTCCTTCCGTTGTACAAAATAATTTCACTTTTACTTTTCACTCCTCTGAAAAAACACTACCATTTTCAATTAAAACCTCATATATGCCCTATTAATTTTTACCCTACCTATCACATGATATCTATTCATTATTAATCTATCCATTAAACACTATTCTATCCATCATATCCAAATGGTAAAATTGGAAAGTAAAACCTAAATTACGTATTACTTAAATCTACCCTTTTTGCAAATAGGAATTATTTTGTGAAATGGTGGTAGTATTAAAGACGAAAATAAAAATCCTAAAACTATAAAATACTATATCTCGAGTGCCTATTATCAAGAACAAGAAAAATAAAAAAGATCACAATGCAAAATTTAGATAGTACAAAAACAAAACGTATAGAGTATGAGGCACTGAAGTAAATAATTAAGTACTTGTAAGTCTACATTCAAAATGAATTAAATGCTTACAAGTACTTAAGGTTTCTCAAGAGCCCCAAAGAAGAAGGGATTTCTCCTGCAAATAGACTAGTTATATACGGAGTATCATTTAGTTTTATCGTGCTACAACAACAACTCAGTAGAATCATGCTACAAACTAAAAATTTCTCTACAACTTAGGTGTTTGGATATTAAATTATGAGCACAAAGCATACATTTGGTTGTATGAAGCATCAATGTTTCAACATAATTTCGATGTGTTACTCCTCTTCCTACATCAATTAAATTACGAAGCATCAATTTCAAAAATTAATATGTATATTTATACATTTTGACATTCAATAATGAGCATGGAAACAATAAAGCACAGAGCATATACATGCACATAATATGATGGTTAAATGTTACATTTTATCCAAAATAATAAAGCACAAAGCGACCAGATAACAAGGGATTCAATTTAACTGTGATATTTGTAAGGTGAATTACAATAATAAGAAAATTGGATTTAAAAACTCAAATTATGCTTAACATAATAACATTGAAGACCAACAAGGAATTGGATCAACTACCATGGAATTTGATGAAAGATTTGAAGTCCTCAAAGTAGTTCAAATTACTTTCTCAAGGAAGCCTGCAAATAAAGCATTGGAATTCATTATGTTCTAGGCAAGATACAAGCAAGACAAAAAGGTTAATGTATTGTTTAAACATAACAAAACCTAAATATAATCTATTAACATTTTAATCCGTATTAAGGGCTAGATTGTTGAGAAACTAAAGAATGCAAAAATTAACTGCAGCAATCATGTAATTGATGTAAACCAGTCTAACATAGCACGCTTGAAGTCCTTGAACTTGCATTGGCCTTTGTATGCTTTTATAAGGTCCATTATGTCAATGGCAAACAGATCTTAAGGTTTCAGTTATTTAAAGTATCAGTAGCACTATAAGCAGGCTTGCCTAACCAAGGTGGAAGTTCAATACAAAAACTACACATTGCAACCAAATATCTCAAAACGTCCATAGAAATATTACAGATTTATATTCTACTACATATTGAATACCTAAAAAGATGAGGAGAGCATTACATAATGCAGCAACAATTCCCCTACTGCTGAAACAGAAATTAAGCCTAGGGTTTCGAGCATACCGAATACAAGGAAATCGGAGCATCAATTGAAGGTGAACGACGGAGGACACGATAGAAAATCTAAAGGGAAAATGTTCGGTGAACGACGGAGGACACGATGGAGGAAGGACATGATAGCACCGGGAAATAAAGGAAATACGTAGTAAATAAATGGGAAAAATACAAAAATGGTACTAAAACAATGCAAGTTTCCCAATATATGACTAGTACTAATTGACTAATATAACCCCAACTCTTATGTGATTGAATTTTAAGAATTGATCTGGGCATTTAACACTCTTCCGCGACTGAATTCTGAGATTCCAGCGGGCATTGAACACTTTTGGAAAACAAGTGGACATTGAATTTCGAAAATCCAGTAGACATTGAATTTCGAAAATCCAGCGGCCTATCCAGGTCTATAGCCAGAGAGAGAGAGAGAGAGTCGCGCTAGAGATTATCGGTACTCACAATCGATGTTACAATGTTCATTGCCGATGCTACAATGTCTAGTTTGCCGTCGCCCACCGCCGATGTCACAATGTCCACCGTCAATGTTATCATAGTTGCCGCCCACCGCCGATGTCAAAATGTCCACTTTGTCGCCGACCACCGTCAATTTCACAATGTCCACCGTCGATGTTACAATGTCTATCTTGCGACCATCTACCACTTGATGTCACAATGCCTACCATCGATGTTAAAATGTCCACCTTGTCGTCGCCCATCACCGATGTCACAATGACCTCTATCTAGTTGAATAATGTCCTAGTATAATACGTATGTTAATGTCCTTGGATTCATCACAGAGACATTGTGTCGATTTGTTTATCCATCAATGTCTTTGGTTCTTCTCCAGATCTATACATCGAGTTGCCAGATTTGAATCACGAAGAAAAATTGTGGTTGGTCCTGTTCGATCGAAGAAGACAGTGAAAGGCAAGAATTGAGTTGTGCGAGAAAATGGAAAAAAATCTGGAGTTTGAGAGAGACGAGCCTGATTTGATTTAGGCATGGGGAATGGGAGGCTAAAAAGGGGAAGTCAAGTTGAAAAAGGTACTATTCAAGGAATAAATGATAATTAGTTCCATAATGGGAAAAGTGACGACTTTTAGTACTATCCGTGGCAAATCTGACTAAATAAATACGTATAAGGTGTTCGGTGAACTTTTTTTTACTTCTGGCATAGCGGTTCGGTTAACTTTTTCTAATCTTATTGAAATTTCACCAAGTTAGCCTAAATTAGATTCAATCTTTATATATATAATCTGAATATGAGACATTTGGCGTGCTGCCTAAAACTTTTTTTGATACTTCATCAACCATGTCATCAAAATTGACTTCCTCATTATTTCACACGGGTTGGATAAGATGGAGTATTTGGGCGACTCGATCTGTGGCATTTATCCGCAAGTCTCAGCCACGAGATATTAGCGAAGATCTTATTGGTACTCTCCTTTGATTGGCACACCTTCGATCGGTCTTCCTAACACCTTCTTGTGATAATATAAAGGATATCAACAAAGATTGATCAAGAATATTATTCTTCAATTGGGATATCAACGAAGATTGATCGGGATTAATCTCCGCGAAGAATTATTCTTCGATTGGATATCAACGAAGATTGATCGGGATTAACCTCTTTCCTTCATCATGGAGATTCCAGCAATCGGTACCAAGAATAAGGTAAGTTTCCTTTTCTTAAAAATCATAATCGTCCCTAAGAACGATGCATCTTTCTTTCCTTTTAGGATAATTGGACTTCTTTCCTTCTTAGGATGATTAATCTTTGCGAAATTTGTTCTTCTTACGAATTTTCCAGTTCAAATCTTTATGGAATTTGTACCCTAATTACAGTAAGTTTCCTTCTTGTGATTTAGGTCATTTATAAATCAAATTCTAAGTAAGTAATTTCATCAATCTATTCTTTTATTGTAAGGTGTGTTCATACCTAAAACCTTTGATTAATTGACATGTCTTCTAAACCGATTCATCCTTTGTTGAATCAATCCAACAAGTGAATGATGGAGAGTTTTGGTTCGTGTGATTCGACTGTATAAGATGTCAGTGTACCATGATGAGAAGACGACGAATTTGATTGAGATGATATTCATTAACGAACTTGTAAGATTTGTACTCTTATACGCATTTTGCATGAAATATAAAATTTATATTTAACAAGAATTCTTATAATTGTTTTGCGTCTGGAAGGTGATTTTGCTTTTACTTTCAAATCACGGTTATACTAATCTATACAAAACAAACCATATTATTCAATTGCTCAGATTATATAAATAAATGAAGTATAATAATGTTCTTAAAGTATAATAAGTCTGCTATCCTTATTTTTTGATTTATACTCTGCTGTTTTTGAACATATTTTATGGTATTGAGTGCAGTTTTTATAGTCTCTTGAAGTTTCTTCAGTCCCTAAGTATTGAAAAAACAAATCACACTATAGTCTGTAATTAGGGTACACATCCTTTATATATAAAAAGGAGACTCTATTTTCTTAGAACTTGACATTTGGCATATTCAAAGCTTGACATGTGGCGCATTAGGAGCTTGGCATGTGGCATATTAGGTGGAAATTTAACCAAATTTACTCTCTTTCATGATTTCACATTTTTTACTCTTTTTTTCAAAAATGATATGAAGTAATTACTTATTTTGAACCCATGAATTCAAAATTAGAATTAAAATTATTTACCGTGTAAATTATTATTTTTAATAAAATATCATTTTTTAAGAACTCTACATATAAATTTTTTTAATGCCTGTCTCGGATTCACTAAATCATAAAATTTACAAAATATTTTTAGAATAATAAATAAAATACAGTCCTCACCCATAAATAATTTTATATTTATTTATTATACATTTACATGATATTCCTTTGATTGTATTTATTTAAATATTGACACCTATTAAATAAAATACTTTCTTTACCTATAAATATATTTTACATTTTTATGACACTTAATGAGTCATCACTTAATTTAAGATATAGAAAATGCAAATTCAATGTTTTGGTATAAAATCTTTGAATAAATTTATTTGTTAAAGAGAAACATTCATTTTTATGAAAATACTCTTTCCAATACAATATAATATTTTTTACTCGCTTCATTTATAAAAATATTTGATTAATAAATAAGATGATTTTTTCACATTTAAATAATTTTCATACAAGTATTAGTTTATAATATTTAAAATGAAATTAGTTTCAATTCTATTTATTTTAATAATAATGTAAAATTAAAAACAAATAATACATCTCAAAACTAGATTAAAAAAATAAAAATCAATACATGACTGGACTAAAATTATTTTTTTTAAATAATAAACAAAAGATTCTTTTCAAAAATAAATAATTAGTTTGATTATATTTATTTAAATATTAACACCTACTAAATAAATACTTTCTTCGCCTATTATGAAATTTCTTTTTTTTAACACATAATATACCTCCTAATTTGAAACATAGAAAACGTAAAATCAACATTTTGGTAAAATGTGATCCCTAAGGTCCACATGTAAAATGTGAATCTTCTTACACTTTTCATGAACCAGCAAGTAAGTATTTTTTAAAAAAGATCCAATTCTTTTATGATATTATTACACCAAGGCCTATAAAATGAGCATGGACTATAGGACGTGGAAAAATTTGCCTTATAATAAAGCTTTCAATCCCCCCCCCCACCAAAAAAACTTTCAATTAAAAAATAAGATACATTTTTTACCTTTAAATCAATGTCATCAACCACCCACATTCAAGTCGAAATACACACGTGCTAAAAGAGGATCAATAGTGATAAAAAAAAGGATAGAATCAATATTTAAACTTCATTTTTCCGTCCAACTTGACGAGAGATGAACGAGATCAACTAGAGATGCAAGAGAAAGAAGAAAATGAAATACCTCAATAAAAAAACATAAACGGGTGCGTATTTTTATGATTATTATTTTATTTTAGCAATTCAACATGCATATGTAAAAAACGTAAACATCGTTCGTATGTTTCATAAAATTTATGTGTAGTTAAAGTGTAAAATTGTTGTTTTAGACTTTTTATGCATCCGTCTTTGTTATATGGTATCCTAATGCAAGTGTGTTAGAATTTTTGTAATAACTAAATCAAACAAAATATGTCGGTGACTATAATTTCGCTATGGTTACCGAGTCAACAAACACTATCGAAAGGCCGTCTGCAATATGTGTCAACATGAAGTAGGGAGTTATTTTGTTCAGAGTATTTTTAACGGTCCAACAAGGATGTACAAGCTCTCCAAGTTTGAAGACAGTTCACAATGATGTACATAACACATTCAAGGATGCATGCAAAGGATTGAGGTTACTAGCGGTGATTAAAATTTTATTGAAGGCAAAATGTTGTAGAGCTAGGATCCGAGAGTAAGCTAAAAAATTCTTTGTCACATTATTACTGACAAATACCATGAGTCGCTCTCAAGTTGTTTGTGAAAAATCATGGAAGCACTTAGTTGACGAGGTTTATTTGACCGAAGAAGAATAATGCATTAACAATGTGTTTTTATAAAAAGATAATTTTATTTTTTAATAAATATCAATATGAAATGCATGGTCGGTGCATATACAGAACTCTAGAATTGAGATATGAGTATAATAAATTTAGTCATATTTTAACTATTTTTTTGCAAAACTTATTTGCCTAGAAGATGTAAAGAATTTGTAATTGATTAAAATTGAAAGATACCTAATTCAAATGCATGACCTTTGAAGGAGTTTAGTGGTATGTCATTCCGAGATGACAACCCACTTAACAAATTTGGAAATAATTTCTTGGTAGAGGAGTTGAACTATGACAAAGAAAAGTTATTATCTGATTTTAGCTGATATTAATCTATAATGAATGAAGACCCGTGGAAGATAGGGAAAAAGGTTAAAGTAGAAGTAAAAAATTGAAAATATGACAAAATAGGAGTTCCATTTTTAATTTTTGAAATAGAAGTTAAAATGCATTTACGGGTGCGATCATTATGGTCAATTTGTAAATTGTAGGTGCTACAGACAAATCTTTAATATTATGATCAATTTGTAAAGTTTTATGTTGACCAAAAATATTCGACTACATTCATCTACTTCCTCTTGCGCAGATAGGGACACACGTGCTTTTTTTGATTGGAAAATTAGATTCGAATATGAAAAGCTATGTGAGGTGATTGATGGAGTTATTGATGTTGAGAT